AAATCAATATTTCCTTACTGTTTTGGTTGTTTCTGTGAAATTATCTACAATTAGATTATATAGACTATGAATCAGAGATAGCAAAATCTATGGGAAAGTTTATTCCAGAACAAAAACTCAATGTAAATGCCAGAAAGGAAAATAGTGTGTACAGTCACAATTCAGAATATAAACTTGAGGGCAGGCTCCTGGCATTTGCCTTTCACAATTAGCTCTTGTGTCTATGGAACCACATCTACTAAAAAATATTATTCATCCAAATAGATGATAGCCTTATTAGCATGGTGAGAGGACATAGCTTAGAATTGCTTACCATCTTGACTCTCCTTGAGCATCAGTGATTGACACTGAGGAGGTTGTTATGTCTAAACCCACAAACATCAGGTTCTTAATACCCCTTTTAGTCATTGTCTTTATTTATAAATTATTTCTGAAAATATTAACACCAAGTCCAAAGCTAGAGTCCTATTCAAAGGTAAACAGAGAATAATAATTATTGCAGAGGAGATATGATTTAATTATGTCTTTTTAGATGTTTATGATAATAGTTATAATATAAATGACCACCATTGTAGCTGGTCTTTGGTTCCTTTGTGGGTTCTTCTTTCTGCCGCCCTTTTCCACCATTTTCCTTTCATCTAGAAAGAGAGGGAAGGGAAATGATCCTTGAATAGAATCAAGAGTCAGAAAGAGGGCAGAGTTATCATTAGAGTGCTTTCTGCTGATTAGGGGCATTGAGTGTCTTGGGGGCAAGTTTGATCTTTGCCATTAGGATATCTAATTTCTTCTTTGTGTACAACTACATAACATGCCATGACCCACAGCAACCAACAGTTACCAACCAACAACCAACAATCAACCAACCATCCACCACTCCTCCTGGAGCCTGTCTTAGTTAGAGTTTTATCGTGTGTGTGTGTGCGTGTGTATATTCACTTGCTTGGAGCCTGCACATGGGAATACAGCTAACCACTTCCTATTTTCATGTTCAGTGAGAAACCTGAATATTGTTTCAGATGTTCACACTCAAGTCTTAACATCTACCTCCTAGGGTTCATCCCATAATACATTATGTTTGCATGTCAACTCACAAAATAAATCTAGAAAATTATAGGCAGAATTTGGGGGTGGGAACTGAAATGCTCAGAATAAGTTCTAAACCATGATAGCCTCTGTTAGAAACTCAGAAGCTTTCTTTAAGTGGTTCTCAGCTTCAGGAATCAGGGTCCCACATTTAAAATCAATCTCAGAACTACCCCAGTTCATTTCTAAGCTGGCATTGAAGACATATTCTTGTGAAATGGTTATGTCCTATTTATGGAACAGTCATTCTGTGCAGATTAAAGATAAATTTTACTCATTTTAGGTATATAATGAAAAACTTTTAGTTTATGTGTGAAAAACTTTAAGTTTTTTTTGTGAATCGATTTGAATTTTAGTGTTAAGACACTCTCTGTGCTAAAATTAAATTGTTCTCTTTAGTGCCAAAGTTATTTTTATAATTTAAAGCAATAGTAAAGTTCAGTTGGTAAAAATGTAGTTCTCTTATCCAATCATCCAAATAACCATCATTGATTATTTTAGTATTGATTAAGTAGGAATTCTTCCCAAGACAAAAAGGATGCAGTAGTGAAGATGGCCTTGACTTGTCCCGTCATGAAATTTAACCATAAAGTAAGAGGCACTCAGCAAATCACGTCTCATTCATGCACATAACACAGGCCACACTATGCTAAATGCCATTAATGACAAATAAATTGTGGAATTAGAACATTTCATGATGATAGCTGTGTAGTCTGGACAGTAATCAAAGGATGTCTAAATAGAGGCGACATGTTCACTGAACATGAAAGGGAAATGTTTAAACTAGACATGGGAGGGTGTGGCAGAAAGAAGTAAATAAGAGAGGCAGGAAGAATACTTTTGTGTGAAGCTCTCAGTATGTGCACAGAGTATAACTGTAAACAGTAAAAGTGATGTATTTGGAGATGTTTTGGGAAGCAGATTATTCAGGGCCATGTTAAGTAAAGCTTTAAGCTGAAGAATCAAGTGACCCATTTGAATTCTCAAGAAGAAAATGTCATGCTGTCAAGATTGCTCTGTGGGTAAAGAATGTGCTGTGCAAGCCCAGTGACCTTCAGTGAACTCAAGCCCTGAACTACTATAAGAAAGGAAGATGCTGCAGCTTTTCTGAATCCTGTGGTGAGATGAGGGACTGGGAAGAAGCTGGAGTCAGTAGGTCTCTGTTTAGTCAGGGTTTCTATTCCTGCACAAACATCCCAATCAAGAATCAAGCTGGGGAGGGAAAGGGTTTATTTAGTTTACACTTCCACATTGCTGTTCATCACCAAAGGAAGTCAGGACTGGAACTCAGGCAGGTTAGGAAGCAGGAGCTGATGCAGAGTCCATGGAGGGATGTACTAACTGGCTTGCTTCCCCTGGCTTGCTCAGCTTGCTTTCTTATAGAATCCAAGATGACCAATCCATGGATGGCACCACCCACAATGGACCCTCCCACCCTTGATCACTAATTAAGAAAATGCCTTACAGCTTAGATCTGATGGAAATATTTCCTCAAGGGAGACTCCTTTCTGTGATAACTCCATCTTGTGCCAAGTTGACACATAAAACCAGTCAGTACAGTCTCCAATATTCTGTGCAGAAACAAGAGGTATCCTGGGTCAACAAAGTGGAAAGATAACAGATTCTCAGAAGTGGTCTTCTGACTTCCACAAGGGCATTATTGTATATATGTATGCAGAAGAATTGTACACAGACACACAGACACACACACACACACACACACACACACACACACAGAGAGAGAGAAAGTAAATATCTTGGCAAAGTGAAAAGTTGACGAATTCTGTGCTTCGCCTTCAGATTTTCTAATTCCAGCAATTTTATTTCAAGTCCTAGAAGTAAATTCTTATTCCATAAGTAGATTAGAAGTTATGATTCAGTTTCCAAGAAGAGCCCTTTTCTAATGCCCCATGGCATGTAAAAGAATCCAGTAGTGATAGAAACATTTTTTTTCTATTTTAAAATCTTTTTACTTGTTCTTTGTGAATTTCATACCAAGTACCCCAATATCCCACTCATCTCCTCCTCTCCTTGTACCTTCCACCCACCTCTAAAATCTAACTTCAAACATAGAGGAAAAGACCTCACTGTGGAAGCTGTAGTGTGTCACAGTGTGTCCCACAGTGTTCCCTTTTGTCTACACTTGCTTGCAAATGTTTATTGCAATGACACGTTGGTCAGGTACAAGGCCTCTGGATTCTGCTACTCTATCAATACTGGGATCTCACTGAGACTCCTTTCGGATATCCTATAGTTTTGAATCTAGAAGACCTACCCTTTCATGTACTTCAGCAGTTCACTGATAAGGAATATCTTGACGTTGGCCAATTCAGAGCCCTGGATCTGGGTCTGAGAAGTATCTGAGCTGGTCATGCTCTCAGGGTTGGTCACCAACAATGCCCCCACCCCACCCTACCATTGCAACCAGGGCCAGCACTACTCTGCATCATAGCTGAGGTGCAGGGTTAGGTTTCCTGCACTCACCACCCCAGGGTCAGGTCTCCTGACTTCGTCAGGGGGTGCAGAGTTCACACCACCATCCCTTGCTTGTATTCATGGCACTGATTCACCCACAACTTCAGCACTTGTGTTCAATGTGTAGGCCTATGCTCTTGAGTACTGCACCTGGCTTATGGCAGGGCCACCTCTCCTGCTCTCATACTTCTAGAGGGAGTTCTCCTAGCATGCCCAGGCTATGGGTGGGGCCAGTTCTGCACAGTCCTCAGACATCAACATGCTCTAAGCTGGCAGCCCCGACCAGGTACATACCCTGGCCTTTGGTGATAACAGACCTCTGCTGCTGCAGGACCACAAACCGAGATATGGTTTCTGGTGGCAGCACAGGCTAGGAGTCCACCATGGTCCCCAGGTGGCATCACCAGCTACTCATATCAGGCTCTTGATCACGACCCCTGAGTCTCCAGTTCTGCCTCTCTTTATAATGCTCACATCCTTCTGTTTCTCTTTCTTTTCTATTTCTCCACTACTTTCTTAGTGGTGGCCAGGGTCTCTCAAGAATGGTTTAAGGAATGCTATGCTCCACTCATGTATTATAGATCCAGACAGGGGTCATCTTGGGCACTGTCTGCCCACTCCCACAGACGTGGTACATCGGACTGGCATCTCAGGTTAGCTCCCTGTCAGAGCCCCATGCCAGCAGTCATCTAATGGCTTGTTCCTTGCCTGGCTTGCCCAAGTGGCCCCAAGTGAGAGGGTTGTCTATCTCAAGCTCATTGTCATCTGTGGGATTGTGTAAGGGTATCCTGGTTCATGGCTGAGCATGGGCCTGGAAACCCGAGAGTCTAAGTGAGAAACGGAAGGTGTTCGGCCAGGGCCTCAGAACCCAGAGTCCTGACACGCAGTCTCGTCTCCATAGACCTACATTGTTCAGTCACATAGGCCATAACAGCCCCTCTCAAAGTGCAGAGGTAGAGGGCGTGACCATAGGCCTCCAGCACTAGGGATTTACATACTAATGAAGGCCAGAGGACAGAGCAAATTAAGCATTCCTCCCCAGACCCTCCCCCTTTCTCCCTCCCTATTTAACTCAGGACTGCCCTGAGTTTTTGGGGGGGAGGGGGTACATTCAGATCCATCCACCATCCGCCATGACAATAAACATTTCTGGAACCAAGGACTTCCTCATGTCATTGGGGCCAGCCATTGCCAAAGCCTCCAGCCTTTGGAACTCTAGACTTTCTTGTGTATGTAGAACCCGGCAGTGTTGAAAGCCTCCTACACCACTGCCTCAGCCTATTTTCCCACACTCATCTTTGGGCCATAGTCCCAGGCATGGTTCTTCTAGTCTCCAGCTTGCTCCCTGATCTATGGCACCAGACTGGTGGCTGTCTCAGACTAGCTCCCTGTCCAGGCCCCCTTGTGGTTGTCTCAGGAGTGCTATTTTCAGGGAATGTTCATTTGCTAAGCTACTAATAATTCAAATGTTCATAGGCCAGAACACTAAGTATGAACATAGTTTCTCTCCTTCTGCCACCTATGGATGCACATGGCACAGCACAGCCACACCTGCAATACCTTTAAGGGTATTAGAAACATCTTATTAGGAGTTTATTGTTCTCTATAGGCCACTGAGATCAGAAAGAGCCAATGATATTTTGATTAATCAGTTGTCATCTGAGTGGTCAAAGTGACAATGGTTTAGAGTGTCCAGGGTTCTTGGGTTACAAGTCATAGAAAGTGGAGAGGATTTCTTTGTCTCTGATGCTAGACAAATGATTACCTTTGGGTAGCCAATTCTGATTACTCTCCCAGCTGTAATAGAAATTAGAAATTGAATTAATACGGGATAGATCAGAGGATGTTGCTTACTTCCAGGAATAGGAAAGAAGGCTTCTGTTTTGGGCCTGAACAAGGCCATAAGGACCTGGCCTGCACATAGTGGGAAAAGGAAAACACCCTTTTCTCCTTTGTGTACTAAAATACAGTTCTTCTGAAAAGAATGTTCATATCTATTTTGTGATAATTCCTTTGGTTACTTTTTTTTTCATCTCATTTCCTTTTTTCCCTCTCTTTCTGTAAATTACACTTTGTCTTATTTAGGATTTTATTGCTGTGAAGAGACACAATGACCAAGGCAATTCTTTTAAATGAAAACATTTAATTGAAGTTGGCTTACAGTTTTCCAGATTCAGTCCATTATCCTCATGGGAGGAAGCATGACAGTAATCAGGCAGACATAGTGCTAGAAGAGTTGAGAGTTTTACATCTTGATCTACAGGTAGCAGAAGAGGTCTCTCTCCCTGTCCCTCTCCCTCTCCCTGTCCCTGTCCCTCTCCCTCTCCCTCTCCCATTTCTCCTCTCCCTCTCCCTCTCCCTGTCCCTGTCCCTGTCCCTGTCCCTCTCCCTCTCCCTTTCCCTCTCTCTCCCTCTCCTTCTCCCTCTCTCATTTCTCCTCTCCCTCTCCCTCTCCCTCTCCC